CACACACACACACACACACACACACACACACACACACACACACACACACACTACGGGAAAGTAGCTCACTCCACAATATTGTTCTCCTTAACCCTTTCAGGACATGACAGACAGTTACACATTACGTTCAATCAGCAGCAGACTTGAGGTAATGTTGCGGCACATTTCAAAGTATCAAATAGTCTATGACACACAAATCCCCCCCCCCCCCGAATTTTGATATTTTACAGTATGCACGTTATATAGTTCAAAATGTGGCAAACTTTTCTCTGCCAGAATTGGTAGCATCGGCAACAACAGAAGCCACATGTCATCATAACCATTAATTCTTCAAATACTTCTATTTCGCTGGAAAAATATGCTCTAATGCCGATGTATTGGTCATCGTCAGACATTGACAGAAAATGTATTATTGTTGTAGTCTGAATCTTAAAAATTTAGATAAAGGAAATCAATTTGAAAAATCTGCATGAATAACCAAGTAATGTTTCTTTTCTTTTTCTCTTTTTAAAGAGTCTTCCAATGATTGCTGAATAACCAGAACGAGTGTAGTCAAAGAGTTAACAAATTGTCCCGTCTATCAAGGCCGGAACCGACGTAGAAGCGTGGCCCGGAGTGACCCACAGCCGTATACAGAAGTGTTGTTCGATTCTGAAGAAACAATAATAGCTTCATCGACGCTTCGAAGCGGGCAATCACTATTCGTGCTACTCGATTACTGTGGGTGAATGTCGTATTCTTTAAAAAAAAAAAAGTTTAAATAATATTGTCCGTCCGTCCGTCTGTCTGTCTGTCTGTCTGTCTGTCTGTCATCGACAGCGACATTCGCTATTCACCTAGTGTTTTTGTATTTGCGTCAACGATTTCAAAATATGAAGTAATGTTGCGACTAGTTGATTAAATAAGACGAACATTCATTATCCACAAGACAGCACCATACGGCATTCAAATGGTACTGCTCTATTTCGAATAACTGTGAATAGCTCAGAAATCGAGAATGTTTGAATAGTAAAGTCGAATGGGCTGAGCTCTTGTATGGATGGAGTCGCGAGGCCTCAGAACTGAGCTGATCACAGGGGATTTGGGCGATGGTTTCTGTCCAATGTCCTCTGGGCCCCACGACCCCAGAGAGGGGATTCCGATGGGCGACACTACATGTTGGGGATGAGTGGAGGGACGGACGTGGGAAATTGTGCGTGTGTGTGTGTGTGTGTTTGTGTGTGGGTGAGAGAGAGAGAGAAAGAGAGAGAGAGAGAGAGA